TACCTAAATACATGTTATATTTATAGCTGATGACATGAAATTCGTATGAAAAAAAATATTATTTTGCATAAATATTTTTTATGAACTATATTGTGACAAATCTTAGGGTAACATTATTGTGGACTTTGAAAGATGCCTATAGAGATGTAGTGAAGGATTGGTCATAGCTAACAACTACACTTTATAGGCCTATATATGGGGATCAATGGAAGGCATACTGCATATATATGTTATGTAGATTTCCTCTGCATAGAATGTGACAAAAAATAGGATTTATTTTAATTATTAATGGGTGTTGCAGTTTCCTAAATGAGTAAGCTATTCAGATTAATTGCATCCTATGCACATCTAAAAACACTTTTGACTAAGAATTTAATGCTTTTTCCAGTATGGGTAGAATTGATATAGGCTTGGTCAGGTTAAACTTATAATGAATCATATGGGGCTTTATAGAGGGTGAAGTGTAAGACGTCCTAAGAATTAAGAAGAATAGTCTCAAATGCATTAAAACAAACATGAAAGAGATATTTACATCACCATATTAGTTAGTGGGAGATGCCCAAGTCTAGAATTATAGTACCATGTAATAACACCTTCATAGAATTATAAGTGAATGGGGTGAAAGGAGACAAGTTTGATCAAGATATTATGAATCAACGATCTTGGATCATAGTATTCTAGACAACCAAAAAGGCAGCCGATCCTAATCAAAAGAGCCTTAATAACCATCAATGGGTGAGAACCTTGCAAGTCTGGGGTAATGTCATGTCCTAAGATCTAAAATGGAAGAATTTTTTTTCTATTTTCATTTAGTTAGTTCTTTCTTATTTTAAATAACAGTCAATAATCATTTAAAACTAGATCAATTTGATATCTACAGCTGATTAGTTGCATTAAAGAAATATAAATAATGAAAAATATAATTCATATTACTATAATCATTATTTACATTATATTTCTATATCTAGAGTCTAAAATAATTTGTACAATAACCTTCATAGGCTACAAAAAATATACATAAACCATAGAAATTTAAGTAAAAGTAAACTAGCAATGCTGAAAGAAAACTATGCATAATGTCTAGTGCCTCATGCCATATGTCTTTACCCTTTTCTGAAATTATATAAAATCACGTAATGAGTAAATAGCTTAACAAGTATTGAAATCTTATAACTGAAATAAATGCAATAATGCTTTGAATTATATAAACAAATATATATTATATCAATATTTATTAATTCTACCAGTTACTTTTATCAAATTATACTTCTCTAACACATTACATCTCAATCTATTATATCATATGTTATAATATTAGTAATAGAAATCAGTATCGATAATAGTAACAATAATTAGTAACATTAGGCGATATCAATATTCCGTATGAATATCAGTTAGTATCAATAGTAATATTCAAATATTCATCTTGATCTTGCTCATATATTTATGACTCACAATTAGTTTTCACTTATTCTATCAATCAATGTACTCCTTATAACTCCTATTCGATTGCGTAAATGAGTTGCCCCGACTTATTATGACTAACAATCAATCTCCAGCTCCTTATGACTCCCATCAGTGAATTAAAATAGTGAATCATAAAGGTATCACATAAGGCATCATTTCATATATCCAATATTAATCATAATATCCTTTCAATTATATCAATATCATATTCCAATATGTATCAATCCTATCAATCATTTCAGTCCATATCACATTTTAGTATTTTCATATAAAATCATAGTATCTCACTTTCAACCCATTTATAATATGTTATATATATATATATATATATAAGCGCTCTAAAGCACAACGTTCAAATCGCTTCATGTTCATATAAAATTTTAATTTTAATTTTAATTTTTTTTTCGTATTTTGGGTTGTTCTAATCTTCCCACCTTTGAAAAATATCGTCATTTACATTTCTATATCAATTTGAGAGAGGGAACATGTGCAAAACAAAATTTCTAAATCAAATCGACTCATCAATATTCAAACAACTAGAAATCGTAGATAACTTCAAATATATTAAAAATTCCATTGGAAAACTTAACTTATAAAATTAGAAAATAACACAAAATCATACACTCATATTCTTAGGTATTTCAGGAAACTCTTTCACTAGTTCCAATAAACCGTCTAAGTTCATATCTCTATTCATGTATAGGAAATGGTCTTTGGAGCAAATTAGTTGCATTAGATAAAGGAAACTTAGAGACCAACATATCAAATAGGATGAATTTCCCATTCAATATCCAATGATTCCATCACTTAGTGTTCTAAGAGTCCTTGTTCTACATGTAGCGACTTAAGAATCCATGTCATCAACCATAGATTACTTCATTCAGCAGAACCTCATAAACTAATAGGGATAACATAAACCTAGGCTGATAGACAAAACTTATACTCCTATCTTATATGAAGGAAAAACCTTCTAGATTCGTAGTATCATATGGTGGTACATGTTAAGGCTGATAAGACTCCCAATAACATAAGGCTAAATATTATGAAATAAAAGTGCATTTTCTATATAGTGGAAAGGAAACTTAAGATGTGGCTTATAGCTTAATTGCGTGGAATTAAAGAGCCTACAATCTTCTTAATGAGATAGAGGCTGTATAAAAAAATATGAAAAATGAGACTTAAAGCTTGATTTTTTTTAATGTTATTCAACCCAAAAAAATCTTATGAATGTGTTAGAAAAGATATATAAGATGTGAACATTGAGACTTATAGTTTGATCATGTGGGATGAAAAAGCTTATGGATTGGACATACATCTTGCCTAGGTTAAGAATCCCATCAAATCACTTGAACACATAAGCAAAATGTGGGGCCATTATGTTAGGATGATTTGACATGAAAGGAGACAAAGAGATCCTAAACTGCAATGCATATAAAGTATATGAATGCAATGCTATAGTTTTTGTTATATTCTCTAAGATGTATTCTTGTCTATTTGGAGACTCACATTATCCTGTCATGATGTGAATCAACTAAGGTTTTGTCATTAATAAGGCCATGTGTCTATACCACAAGATGATGAGTCGAGTACCTAGCCATTATGTATGCTAGAGTGCAAATAAGTCAAAATTATTTTAAATTCATTTAAGCTTTCATGTTTTAATAAAGAAAAATCCTAGGATCTAATGTCGAGGCGACATCACGTAATAATCTAATATAAAAGTAATGTAAACACATAAAGTAATGCAAGTAAACAAACAATAAAGAGAGCATAGGCCTTGAACTTATCTATCCTTTAAGGCTTGCTATCCTTTGTCTCCTATAAAATAAATGTCATTAACATGTATATAATCATCATAATCATCATATAATGTATCATCTCAGCACATCACTGACATGTATTATATATTATCAATATCAAATCAAATGCATCACATAGTCACTTACATCTAATAAATACAATCAAACCTAATTAAATTATTCATTAATAATTTGTCTTGCATGTGCTCATCCATAAAGTGTTAATATCTATAGTGTGAGACAGATCAAACTCATCATGCTCAAACAATTCTGTTGTGGTGTGTAGGACTAATAATTAGCTGTGCGAGCGTTTGCACTCGCGAGACCAATCATTACGAATAAATAGTATTATAGCGTGTTTGAATCATGTGTAAACTATGTTAGAATATTATTTGAATATTGTTTCAATTTTATTCACAAAACCTACAAATAATGTTAAAAAATAGTTAGATCAAGATTTTCTCTATGTTCATCACAATTAATAAAATGTTCAATGTATTTATAGATTTAGTTTTCAACAATGAATGACATATTAAAAGAATAATTGAGCTTATAACATTTTTAACCTTGAACCTATAGGTGGAGATGAATACGAAAAATTTGACAAGAAAATTTGCTTAAGAAGGAATATTACATGCGCTAGGAGATCATTGGAGATGATTAAGATACTGTAAAGAAAGATTGAGCAGCTTATTATGTGAAAGTTCATCTGACTATTGAGGGAGGGTTTCAATTTTTTTTATAAAATAAATTTTGAACATATTATAAAAAGAAAAGAAAAGAAAAAAAAAGTATCACCACTTAAGCCATCTCCAACCGAATTGTAAAATAGTGTTTGCCGTCCGCCGCGAGCTCCAACTGAACGCGAGATTCAACAACATTTTTACGAAGTGAATAGTGCGATGCTAATATTGATGTTACACTGTTCTCAACCCCTATTTTAACTTGGTTGGAAAAAAATACATACTCAAAATATTATTTTTTTTATATTATGAAATATAATTCGATTAAAAGCTGGTTACTATATTTTAGAGTGTTATTATACTTTGAAGTAAAAAATGAGTTTTTTTTTTTTGTTGGAGATGCCTTTCCAGCACATAAAGTCTAATTTCTGTTTGGGGTTATTATGGGATTATGGTTAGGGTTGTCAATATTTGACAAGACCTGAAAACTCAACTCAAACCCAACACAAAAATTTTGGATTCGGGTCAACCTAAACTGAAAAGGGTTGGGTTCGAGTTAAAGGTTTCGACCTGTTTGAAAAAACGGGTCGGGTTCGGGTTGTCACGGAAACTCAACATTGACCCGGACTGACCTGGAGACCGAGTCAGCTCAGCTGTCCGCATCATCCCGCGTCGCGTCAGCTCCGCCGTCCGCGTCTCGCGCCCGTCATGTTGCATCAGCTCAGGCATCTGTGTCATCTAGCTGTCCGCATCCGTGTGCTCTTCGTTGTCTGGCCCATTTGCAACTGTCTGCATCATCCCGTTGTTGGCTGTCCGCTTGCCCTCAATCTTCTTAGTGTCGTCGCCGACCCAATTTTGTGGGATGTGTTAGATTGACTCGGATCTGAAGTACGTCTGATTCGGGTCTGACAAATTACCCATTTTTAAAAATAGGTCGAATTCGAGTTGACTCAAATATTCCCCAATCAATTTCGGATTCGACCGAACCGAACCTGACCGGTGCGGTGTCCGAACCTAATTAATTTCGCCACCGGAGAAAACAGCTGAAACGAGAGAAATACCGACAAGGCGGAAGGCAAACATACCTCGACATGGCGAACCCTAGGGAATGGCTCCTTGTCAATGAGACTGCGAAGGCGATGGTCGATAGAATGGAAGAAGAGCGCCCTTCCCTTTTCTTCCCTCCCCTCAACCGTTTTTCCATTCGAGCTGGCGATGTCGTCGAAATCACTGGCCCCTCTCCCTCGGCTAAAAGCGAGATCCTCTTGCAGGCAAACCTAGCCTCTGTTATTCTCTCCTCTCTTTTTCACTCACTTGCCTTCGTTCCTTTTATTCCACTTCTTCATAGGCAGCCATTCACTGCATTCTGCCCTGGGAGTGGAACGGAATCTGTTTCCGTGGGCTGGAGATGGTGGTTGCGTACATTGATTTGGATTGTCGTTTCGACGTGCTTCGGCTTGCTCAGGTGCTGAAGCTTCGTATCATGAGTGCGTATGGTAATTTACTTTTATCTTCGATGTGTTTCGTTCTTGAAGTGAGTATGTAAGCTTGGCGTTGCTACCTGGTGTTGGAACATCAGTTGGATTTTATAGGATTGGAGATAAATATGACGAAACAATAATTTTTAGTGGGAAAGGAAGCTGGAAAAAAGGGTTGCGGGAGGGAGAGAGGGAGGAAGGTAGAGACCAGTCTTTTTAGCAGGGGCAAAGAGAAATATTGCTAAACAATCGCTCGAACCATAATCATAAATATTGATTTAGAACATTATGACACTCTAATTTTTGAGTGGAGTTTACAATGCTAATAATGTGCATGCTCCTCAAAACCATAACAATTAGGGAGGCTAAGCCCAAATAAAATACCAAAGTTTTGGTGGTTGTTTTTGGCTTACTCAATCTAAGTAACTAATGCTAATTTTGACAATTTGATTCTAAAAGGAATATACCGTGTGATTTTTCTCCCACTTTGTTTATCATACTTCACTGTTGTGCCCAATATCCTAAATGATCAAGCAGTGCTTTTTAACTGAAACCTATATTTCTGCAATTTAGATGCTCAATGACCAAGCTATATGTTTGGATGTATAGCTACATTATTGTGTTATAAATACCTATTATCATTTCCAAGGTGCATCTCACCAGTGAATGCCAATATTTTTATTATGATGAGAATGATTTGTACTAGTAGGATTGATAGAGATGAGTAACGTCGTTCATCAACCTGCCATTCAGTGTTTTGACTGTACAAAATACTTCCAGAAGATGCTGAAAACAGTTTTACTATTAGAAGTTTAACGCTAGTCTAATATTCTGATTTTTGGTAGTTATTTCATCAGCTACACAAGTTTCAATTCTACACCATTTATATTTTTAGCATGCATGGTTGTAGTATGTACAGTTGTAGCATGTGCAACTATCATGTTAAGCTTAATCAAAATAAATAACATTAGAATAGTATACAGGCTGAGCATGCTAATTTTTTATTAAAACAATCCTTATTAGCAGATTGATGTTTAGATTTTGATGTTTTAGGTTCAACTCATGGTACCTGTTGGGACTCAGACAAAGTCTCTCCCAGGAATAGCTTCATGGATTCACAAGCTGATCACCTGGATCATGAATTGTTTTTATCCTGTATGAAACGTTTCTTGTATATCCGATGTTACAATAGCTCTGAATTTTTGGCTGCATTGAAGGCAAGCAATCTCCATTTATATGCTTAATATTGCAGTTGCATAAATATTTTAATCTTATCGAGCATGCTTATGTATTTTAATTCATGGATTTTACATTTATCTTAATTGTCAAATCTTCTAATTCATTACCCTTTACTTTTTAGTTTTGACATTTCATGACAATTGCGACTCTTATCTTCTCTTATTTTTTAGTATCAAATGGTTTATGAGGCTTTATGCCTAGAACCATTTTGCTATAACTGGAGTATGAACTTGTTATGTTGTTCATAGCTTAAAAACCTTAACTTCTTTTGCTATGTAAGGGTACCACTTATTTAAAAGTGAAGTTTTAAGCTAATATTATTAGAAAGTGGGTGAAGACATCATTTTGATCAACTTCTATTTATTTATTTTTTAAATTCTTTTGACCTTGATTCCTGTTTTATTAATGCTTGAATATGATTTTCTTTGAATATTATCTAGTGAATATTCTTAGCTCGTGAGCTTCAAACTTATTTTAACTTTTTAAATAATTTCATTTTTTGAATTTTGATAATTACTATAAAGTTAACTTCTTGAAGGTATGCTATTAGCACATTTGAGCTTATAGCATCTAGTATGCACATTCTTGTTTTTCTCCATTTTAATATATATTTTTTCATTTCTTAAATGAAATGTAGTGCCTCCCAAGAAAATTTGACTGTTTAGCCTAATTTTTTTAAAGAAACAATACCCCATCATACAATCCTTGAGATCGATGCATGTTCAGTATGCATCTCGAGACATTATTTTTTACAGCTATTGGTTTGTGCTAACTGGGACCAATCCAATTTGAGTTACACTAAATTGGTTTGCATAAGCTTTGGTTGGGTTAGTTGGATATTCTTTTGGTTTGAAGAGAGGGTTGGTGAATTTGCACCATCATCAATGGTGACCTAGTTGTTTCTGTTAAGAACAATGAAAGGTTGGAGGTAGTCAAATACTCAATAAAAAGGAGTGTGTGTGCTCCTCCTCGCCCTTTTCAGATGAAGGGGCCATAGTTGGTGGTTGATTCACACCCTTAACTATCATCATTTTTTTAATTAATTAATTAATTTATTCATTTTTTTACCCCTAACTATCATCATAAGTCTCCATAGAAGTAGTGGGGAGTGGCTTGTTGCAACTCTAGGACTCGTTATCTTTGTTTTGTTTTTTTTGCCTTCTCAGTCCTTTCATCAATTTTACCCATCTTATTTTCATATCTTCTGCCTTTTATCACATGCTCAAAATAACTATACCTATTTTCCAACACCTTATTTTCAATAGGTGTTATTTCATTACTTCATTAATATATTCCCTTCGCTGCCTTTTCTTATTAGTTTTCACGCATCTTCTTGATATTTTCACTTTTATAATAGTTGACGTACTTATCAATGATTTCTTAATTTCCTACTTTTCCATGTTAATCACAAAACATTAACTAAAGTAGTTATATTCTCTTTTATATCCGCATTCTCTTGTATTTACAAATCATTGATGCTTTAACCTATCATACTTAGATATAAGTTAATCTTCCAGTGATCTTGTATGATTATTATTAATTCCAAAATTGACTAACATTGCATATTATAAACTCAGTGTTTACTATACTAATCCACCTTGCAAAAATTTTATCTATTTTCAATTCACTTATTTTATTAAAAGTACCACTCATTAAAATTATGTCTTATGCAAATAACATATACCAATGTGCCAATGTTTGTCATGTTGAATATCTTTTGTAATTATAATTCTTTGGTTTCCTTAACCTACTTTTACTGTTTGTCATCCTCATTTTACAAATCTTTAACAATTAGATTTTTAACATTTTTTTCTTAAATGTGCATCGAAGTAAGGTCTGATTTGATTACTGTGAAAGGAGGACAAATTAAATGATTTGCAAAGAATATGTTTAAGTCCTTCAACCATACTCAGTAAAATTGAATGAAAAGTAAGGATTCATAATGCTAAACCCAGTTGTTGGGATGCAACTAATTATCATGATGAAAAGGTAGTACCGATGGCTAATGGAGGATGGATGGCTGCTGTCGTTTCATTTTCAGTAGTCAGTAGTCGCCAAATACGTTAATGATCGTGCTACTTTTCTTCAAATCCCGTGGAACAATTATTCTTGGGGTCTAATATTTGTAAAGTCATATATGTAGCTATATTGAGTATTATTTTGTCTGAAATGATCATAACTTTTCTTCTTACTATCATATATTTTCAAGGAAACTTGAAATTGAAAATATCTTCTTATTAATTATGTGGTTACTCCTTTCTAATGTTAAAATATATAAGATGCAATCCCTACGGATGGTTCTTTCCCTTTGAACAAAAATTTTCCTCCAACGAAAATTCAATATTTGTGGCAATATGTTAAAGCTGCTATGAGATTTGGGCATGAGCATTTTGAAGTTTAATTTCATGGACAATGTCTAGTTTGGTTTAAATAAAGAAGTCTATTCTAAGTTATCTGTGCGCAATTTGTTTATAGTTGTTTTCCTTATGCGTCACCAACCAAATATTAATAAATGAAGCAGATTTTTCCAAACTTGATATCTGTTGAATTATGAATGTAGGTGGCTTTATACCGTAATGTACTGGCTGATTTGATTTCTTCTACTTACAGACAGTGCATCATGGCTCTACAAGTTCAAGGGAAGGACTTGGTGTTAGTTTGTACGTCCTTATTATTGATAGGTCTGCCTTTTGCTCGTTTAACGGTTAAATTTTACTTCTTGTGACTAATAAGTAAACGTCTTTTTTTTTCTACAATGAAGCTCTATCTCGGATTGTATGTTCTTTCCTTTTCAATAGAAAATCGGTAATCAGACCAATTATTTCACATCTGTTATTATGTTAATGGCTCATTTTATGATTGAATTGAACCTATTTAGTTTTGAAAAATTTTTCTGCACGGGGATGTTAACTTATGGGTAATTTTATGTGCATATTCTAATTAGTTGCACTGTATCTAACTTTACTGTGATTCATAATAGGTGAGTTAATAATGGCAGTGGAGTTCTACTAATTACTTCTCAAACATAAATAACTGAACTAGTTAAGTTGACTTGCTGATTTTAACTCCCCCCCCCCTTGTGTGTGGGAGTTTTCCTTAAATGGCCTAAATGCCCCAAAAAAAAAAAAAAAAAAGAAACTCTTTGCAGAAATTGAAAAAAAACTTGAAGAATGATGTCCTCAAAAGTTGTCAGAAGAGTGTTTCCTTGCTTGTTAGTTGTTATGTTGGATGGAGTTGTTATTTCCTATTCTAATTGATTTTCTGATAGGAAGAAGTGTTATTATCCCATCCATGAGAAACCATTTAACGTACGTTAGATCTTTGGTTTTGGTAGATCTCCTTCATATGCAAACTGATTAATAGCTAATTTTTACTAAGTTTATAGTCTTCTTGGCCTTGCATGGGACCTAATTCAGCTTTCTTTTCAATAGAATTAAGTTTGGAGATTGTATTGGTCTGCTATATCACACCCCATTTCGACCCTTCTTCCAATCACCCATGAAGCCTAATAGAGTCTGACAATCTAGGCAGACTCATTTCCCTTCAACAACAATCCTGACTTTACTAATCGGGATTGAGTGAGTGAAAAATAGTCCGTCTAGATTGTTACAAAAAATATCTCATCATTTTATAGATTTTCTCATACTTACTGGTATGGAAGTGTGCATAATTTAAACCGTCAAAATAGTTTACAGAAATTATAATTCCTTTATGAGAAATTTATACATACCTGAAGTTTTTAATTACATTAATTTACCTTTTTTATATCACATCTCATAATCATGCATCCACCCAAAATATTAGGGTAAAGATAATTTAATTATCTATCTGTGGTCCTACTTGCTTCTTTTCCTCTCCAAAAAATAGTCATCGTAACGTTTGATGAGCTAAATGCTTAGTGATATAAACAATTCTAATATAATGTTCAAACTTCAAACATTCAAGAAAGAAGTAATAATATGTATGCTTATCTTTTGAACTAACATGAACATTTTTTGTATTAAAGATATAATTAGCTTAATGAAATGATAATTTTTAAGAAAATGGGCTTTGACATTTAAATACATAATTTTAAGCAAATAACATGAATACCTGTAAGAAAGTGAAATGCATCTATCAAATTTAAAATTATAAAATAAGCTTTGAAATAGCTTATGCATCATTTTCATTTTCATTATTACTTATTAATTCCTTAGAAATGTCATAGAATGCCTATATGCTTTTAGTATATTTATATAATTGGTTGTCGCCTGGCCTGTTGGCCCTAAAGTTTACTAATAAAGTTTGGACAATCTTGCATAACAATTATTAATGACCTATTGATCTTAAGGCTGAATCTTATAGTATCAATTTTCTAGGGTCCAGATTTAGGAATCTTCCTTTTTCCTTATATAGCCTTATTTTGTTAGAATTTTAGTTTCCCCCTGCACAGATCATCATAGTATGCAACCTATCCCACATGATATGACATTTCATTGACTTTTTTTCAATTTAATAATCATCATTAGCATTTAAATACATATTAGGTAGTCAACAATCATTGCCAAATACTAGGTCCAGGATGAGAAAAGTGAAAAGTTGCATTAGGTAATTGATGGCCAACGTAAAATTTGTCAAATAATCTTGACATGAATGCTTTAATACATTGTGTTAATGCTAGGGCGTTCCCTATAAGCGACTTGCTGTATGACTTGAATATAGTGAGAAGTGTACAAGGGCCACTGCACCGGTGCCTAGGTATAATGTTAAATAGGTAAGGGTTTCCACATGAACGGATGTGGGCAAAGAAGCTAGTCAGTGAAACAAAATAAGGATATGAACTTAGAATATATGTTCATTTAAAGGCAAATTAATACAATTAATAGATATTATGATTCATATGAAGATAAAGCAGAGATTTGCACGATAATTTGTCTGTGAATGAGTGACTTGTATTGGGATGCGTAGGATGTTTTTATAAGTGCTCGAATGTGACTACTATTGATGATAGTAGAATTTTCTTGATTTGGAAACCCTTGGAGCTAAGGAGTAGTTGACGATAATAGAATTTTTATGACTTTGAACTGCTTGGAGTTAGGGTCTTTGACTTTAATACCAAATTTTTGTGATAGAACTAGTGAATAGTGGAGGACTAGAGGAAAACTTCATATTTACATTGCATGGTGAGGGAAGAAATAACTTCATTCACTCAACTTAAAGTGATCCAAGTACACAACTTTGATCAATGTGAGAAAAACTATTATATTTTATTCATCATCATTTTCCACTTTTACATGATGTTATGGACTTATATCTATCATAAAAGATCCTACAAGATAAAACTAATAATCAAACTAGCTGAAATAATTGGCAAATGATCATATTACATTTACCAATTGTATTAAAGATGATAAATGAACTAAAATAGAAATGCAATGATAGCTTCACTAAAATAATATGACAGTACAGTTAATTCATATTTGTTCTACATCATAGCGCAATCTATTTACTAATTTTAAGTGCTTATAGTATTACATTGCAATATTGTGCCAACCAATTGAAATAATTTTCAATAACAAGTAAGCATGAGTTTGAAATAATTCATAAATTACCAATACAACAACAACAACATCAAGCCTTTGTCCCACTACATGGGGTCGGCTACATGAATCCTTTTTCACCATTATGTCTGTTTAAATTCAAATTCTCATTTAAATCTAATAAAGAAAGTTCATTTCTAATATTTTCTAACCAAGTCTTTTTTAGGTCTACCTTTACCTTTCTTAACATAAGTCAAAATCTAATACTTCAACTTTCTTAATCGGGTCATCGGAAGGCCTCCGTTTAATGTGACCAAACCATCTAAGGCGACTCTCTCTAATCTTATCTTCCACTGGAGCTACTCCAACCTTTTCACATATATGCTCATTTTGTATCCTATCTCTAAGGGTCAAGCCACTCATCCACCTAAGCATCCTCATCTCTGCAACACTTAACTTAATATTATATTTCTCTTTTAATGGCCAACATTCGACACCATAAAGCATTTCAGGTCTCACCACCATCTTATAGAATTTTCCCTTAAGTTTGAAATAATACATAAATTACCAATAACAACAATAAATTTGAATGTCTAAATCGAGGAATTTGTAACATCACTTTTCTTGAAAGATGACAATCATAGTTGCACATGCATCACAATATTTCATAAAAGCTTACAAGAACAAAATTAATAATAACATGTTTCTATATCACTGTTGGCTTGGCTACATGATTCTTTGTTTTTTCCATTGTATCCTATTAAAAGTCAAATTCTCATTTAAATATAATAAAAAGGGTATTTTTAGTACTTTCTAATCAAGTATTTTTAGGTTTACTCACAGGGTCATTAAAAAGCCGATGTTTTATGTGACCAAGCCATCTAATGAGATTCTCTTGAATCTTATTTGCCACTAGAGCTACTCTAACTTTTTCATGTATGTGCTCATTTCACATTCTGTCTGTAAATATAAAGCCACTTATCCATTTAAGCATCCTCATCTTTGCAACACTTAATTTTATCACTTTTAATGACCAATATTCTGCCTCATAAAGCATTGTAAGTCTCACCACCATATTATAGAAGTTTTCCTTAAATTTGAGGGGTACTTTCTATCACACAAGCATTATGCATTCCTCCACTTCAACCATTCAACTTGAATTCTACTAATAATATCCCTATGTATTTCACCATTGCTTTGAAAAAATAAACTAGAGATATCTAAAACTTGCACTCTTTTTAATAACTTGATCACCCATAGTCACATCCCACCCCTAGATCTAATACTTATAAATTACACTCCATGTATTTGGTTTAAGCTTTGCTCAAAAGAAAACCTTTGGACTCTAAGATTGACCTCCATAATTCAAGTTTTCATCAACTATCTCTACTCTTATCAACAAGAAGAATATCATTAGCCAAAAGCATACATCAAGGTACATCCTCTTGCAAATGTTAAAGCAAAAAGATATGAGCTTAAAGCTAATCTTTGATGCAATTCATTTGAATTAGGAAAATACTTAGTCAAACCACCTTGTATTTGCACACTAGTAACAACTTATATATGCATATCCTTAATGACTTGAATGTAAACATTATTAACTTCTTTCTTTTTTAGACCTCTCCAAAGCACTTCTTTTGAAACTTTATCATATGTTTTCTCTAAATCAGTAAATATTATATTTAGATCCTCCCTACTCTCTCTGCACTTCTCCATCAAATCTCTCAGTAAATATATAGCTTCCATAGTAGACCTACGCGGCATGAATCCAAACTGATTTTGAGAAAAATTAGTATCACGTGATAACGTAATGCTCAATTACTCTTTCCAATAATTTTAATATATGATACATCAATTTAATTCCTCTATAATTTGTGCACACTTCTGCATTACCTTTATTTTTAAAAATAGGAATCAACACACTTTTTCTCCATTCATTTGGCATTTTTTATCCTTCAAAGTAATATTAAAATGTTTAATAAGCCTAGAAATTCCTTGATCTATTTTGCACTTTTACTCTTCTATTGGAATATCATCATGTCCAACTTCTTTTCCACTCTTCATTTTCTTTAAAGCCTCTCCAACTTTGATCTTGTTAATGAGACGATAAAAATAAAAGTCTCTATTTTCATGTAGGGTTTTATGCTCACTAATGTTAATTG